TTAGTGTAGACCTGGCCTAAGGTCATGCCTACCCTGGGGTTTTGGTTTTTTGCTCTAGTGTAGCTACAATAATGGAGATGCATTAATGCAGCGTCAAGATTCTAAGCCAAGATTCTTAAGAGATCAGCCTTTTGCACTGTGCAGGTGGCACAAAAGGACTGGACTGTGGCCAAAACTGGCCAGCAAGGAATCTCCCTGCCATAGGGCAACTACACTGCTAGTGTAAAGCTACTGCAGCCAGTTCCCACACCAGCTACCTCTATACGCCCGACATAAGTTGGGGGAAGGAGTGCAGCTCTGTTATGCCTATCCTCCATTGGTGCAGGATACATTAAGAACCCTATACCTGTGGTGTGACTCAGAGCAGCTGAGTGGTCTTAAGGCTCAAGTGACCCTGAAAATAAGGGAACCATAATTAGCTCTTTGATGACTGCCCGCCTACCCCCAGTCTGCTGCAGGAAGCAGAGCTCAGGCACAGGTGAGAATCGGGCCCTGGTGTTCCAATCAGGGGAAGCCAACACTTAACACCAGCACAGCACGTCTACACTGGAGGTTAGCAGTGAGGCAGCTACGCTGGTTCAAGAAAACCTAGTTCTTCAAGGCAGCCTGAAAGCGGCTATAGGATTCCCTGACGGCCATCTTATTTCACTTACCTCTCAACAGATTTGTGAATTCGCCTCCACTGAGGATACTGCACTTCCTGCTCAAAGCCGCCTCCTTTGGCTCTGGCCTGCTGAGCAACATTCAGGGAACGGGTATCAATGATGTAGCCACGCTTTCCTGCCCTCAAGGTGGCATTAATAAGCGCTGAATCTTCCTTACACCGTCTCCCATTAGTACCTGTGAGAGGCTGGCTGCTCCGCATCATTACCTAGGAGAAGGAACAAAGCATCAGCTGTTAGAGACGGGGAGATCCATTCGATTGTCTAGTCTGGGCCCCTGCCAGTGGCATATTGTAGGGAGCAATCCATCTGCTAGTGCTTCAGCCAGTTTAGTTCTACACATTGTTAAAGGAAAGCGGAAGCCCTGTTGGTTAACAATCCCATCCTTGCAGTGAAGTTAACTGCTTACCTCAGCCTTCAAACGCCTCTCCCAGCAACTTCAGGATCCAAGTCAAAATTGCCCCTTTAGTTCCTCCATGGACTTGCACCAGCCAAGCTCAGACGTCTCTCCTCACTGTCCTTCCCACTCTCTTATCCTCTTAGCATTTACCTGGATAGTCTGGCTGTTGAAGTGGCCAAAGAACGGTCTTCGGTAGAGTCTGCTATTTGAAAAAGCCTGCCCATAGCTCTCTACCTTTCTTCCCATTTCAGCTGCAAACCCTTGTTTTCCTCTTGCATGGAAATGCACTTTTCAGTTCCTACCTATCTTTCATTGCCCTTATGTCTGAACACTAGATTAAATGATTTCTCGTTTCTTAAAAAAAATTATTATTCTGCAGGCCACTTTTCAGGAGAAAGATCCTCACACAGCCTCCTCAGCTTTCAGTTTATGATTCCCTGCCCACCACCTTCACAAACTCTGACTCCAGATTCCTGCTGAAACTTCTTTAATGGGCAAACATTTGAAGGAGGGTTTTATTTTTAACCTGTAACCAATACTGTTTTAAAACATTTTAGTCAACTATGTAATGCAAACATGTTCCTTAGAAGTAGTTTTATTCGGTGGTTCTGGAAAAACCCATAAACCAGAGCTCCACGCTTGTTTAAGATAAGGCTTCATGGAAGAAAGATTTCACAGATGATAAAGCTATGCCATAACTCTAGTACAAGAGACAACCAAAAGCATGAGGATGATGAGTCAAACATATCTACTGACGCCCACAGACTAGAGCAGGGTGTAGCAATGCATGACAGAAGGCATTACTATCAGAAGTTCAAGAATTGCAACTTGAATGCTTGAAACATACGTGTATTAAGAGCAAAAATCTCAAGAAATCTCTCTCTCCCCCCACCCAAGCAAGGAAGGAAGACAATGGAAGCTCCACAGTGACAGGGAACAGCATGAGCTACCTAACTCCTCACTGGTTTGGGATTGATTTGTCAACGTGTAACTAGTTGATGATTCAACTATAAGCCTGGGCAAAAGGAGAAATACAGGAAGTACCTATGTTGGATCAGGCCAGTGTTCATCTAATCCAATGCCTTGCCTCCAACGGCGCATAGTACTAGATGTAAGGAATCACATAACAACCCACCTTCTGGGTACATTTCTTTGTAATCACAAGCAGTTAGTGGCTGGGTCAGAGAGGTGCCAGAGTCTCAGATTCTGACAACTTAAAAGCGGAAGGGGTCGGGGAGTGAGTGAAAGAATTCGCTGCTCATTAAAGGTGCCACATGGACAGGCCTGGAGAACTGAGTCCTCTGCTCGTTCACAGAACAGGTGCAGTGTAAGCAGAGGCAGTGCTAGCTTCACTCACGCTGTGCCTCAGTCATGACTCAGATGGACCACATCTCAGGGTGAAAGGATCATGCAGTCTCTGTGGGTCGTTCAGTCCACAGCCAGTTAGCACAGGCAGCCCAAGAAGTGCCAGTTGTGGAGGTTGCGAGTAGGAGGTGGACCTCTCTCTGCCGAGAGATGACTCATTTCCTAGCCACTACTGAACAGATGTTAGATTACCAGTCTAGACTGGTAGTGACTGAAAGGTTGTCCTATATTCCTACACCTAGAGTTGCCCAGGCTCCCTGGTTTAAATATAAATGGCTATGAAAAGACAGTCTCAGAATAAGCTGGGTAATGATTGTGAGTTGACATCTTATGAGCTGCATTGAAAGCCTTCAGGAGATGTTATTTTTCAATAAACAGGGCAAAAGAGTTCTGAAGAGACCTTAATATTTTTGTCCAGCCCAAGAAAACCCACTCCTCTTAAGTGCCTAAAGCACTCAAACAAGACTTACCATCCCATTCTTCTTATGGTAATAGCTTAGAACGGGGAAGCGGCCACCATGGCGAAAGGTTGCAACTCTCCGAAGGGCCTCATCATCAATTGATTTTGGGACAGTGACAGCTGGCGGGTAGGAGGGGCAGACGGAGAACTCCTTATTGACATAGCTCAGCCGCCATTCATTCGTCTGGAAAAGATACAAGAGAACGTTTTGTTGTACTAGCAAATGAACGCTGCAATGTTAGAAGGAAACGTGGGAAAGCCAAGACATTCTAAGTTAAAAGTTAAAACTACCAAACAAAAAAAAGTTATAAGATACCATCTGAAAATCTACAGATAATGTCACTTAGATTTTTGGTTTGTCACCTGTGCTTCACCCAAAACCAGGAGACAATTCCCCCCTCCCTCCCCAGATATGCCTGTGGAAGGATCCTGACAAGAAGAGGTGTCTCCTGCCTTAAAAACCTCTAAGGATGGAGATTCCACCACCTCCCTAGTAACCCATTCCAGTGCTTCACCACCCTCCTAGTGAACTATAGTGTTTCCTAATATACAACCTAGACCTCCCCCACTGCAACTTGAGACCATTACTCCTTGTTCTGTCATCTGCCGCCACTGAGAACAGCTGAGCTCCATCCTCTTTGGAACCCCCCTTTCAGGTAGTTGAAGGTTGCTATCAAATCCCTCCTCACTCTTCTCTTCTGCAGACTAAACAAGCCCAGTTCCCTCAGCATCTCCTCGTAAGGCACGAGCCCCAGCCTAATCATTTTCGTTGCCCTCCGCTCGACTCTCTCCAATTTGTCCACATCCTTTCTGTAGTGGGGAGCCCAAAACTGGAAGCAGTACTCCAGATGTGGCTTCACCAGCGCTAAATAGAAGGAAATAATCACTACCCTTGATCTGCTGGCAATGCTCCTACTAATGCAGCCCATTATGCCATTAGCCTTCTTGGCAACAAGGGCACACTGCTGACTCGTATCCATCTTTTCATCCACTATAATCCCCAGGTCCTTTTCTGCAGAACTGCCGCTTAGCCAGTCGGTCCCCAGCCTGTAGCAGTGCATGGGATTCTTCCGTCCTAAGTGCAGACTCTGCACTTGTCCTTGTTGAACCTCATCAGATTTCTTTTGGCCCAATCCTCCAATTTGTCTAGGTCACTCTGGACCCTACCCCTACCTTCCAGCCTATCTACCTCTCCCACCAACTTAGTGTCATCTGCGAACTTGCTGAAGGTGCAATCCATCCCATCATCCAGATCATTAATAAAGATGTTGAACAAAACCGGCGCCAGGAGCGACGCCTGAGGTGCTCCGCTTGATACCCACTGCCAACTAGACATGAGATAACCTCATTACAATACATTAAGTAAATTGTTTGCATGTTCCTCTCTCTGTAAAAATGTTTGTCTCTGCATGTTTCAATTTTTCTCAATACAAAATATTTGGGTCTTCAGCCAGTGGAAAGTGTTGTTTGTTTCCCCATGTTCACACAAAGACATCAGTTATATATTTCATGGACTTAAACCTCGTTTACACCTAAACATTAGACCGACCTAGCTACATCACTCCCTGTGCACCGTAGTTAGGTTGCCCTAACCCCACCGCCAACCTCCCTGTGGACAAAATTCTTCCATTGACCTAGCTACCACCTCTCAAACAGGTGGATTAACTACACGATGGAAAAACCCCTTATGCCGATGCAGGAGGCATCTACACTGTGGTGCTACAGCAGCACTGTAGCTATGCCACAGTAGCAAGACATACCCTTAGTTCCATAATTTAGCTGTAGAATTTGCTGTTGTGATGGATTTATTAGAACCGTCATGCATGGCAGACACTTGACAAGAATGCTGCTCCCCTGTACATCACCCGCCCGAGACAGGATCTTTAGTGCACACACAGTCTAGGGCAGGGATCGGCAACCTTTGGCACGTTGCCTGTTAGAGAAATCCGCTGGCAGGCCGGGACGGCTAATGGGGGCTGCGGGAAGCAGCGTGGGCCGAGGGATGTGCTGGCCACTGCTTCCTGCAGCCCCCATTGGCCTGGAACAGCGAAACGCGGCCAGTGGGAGCTGCGATTGGCCGAACCTGCGGTCGCTGCAGGTAAACAAACTGTCCCGGCCCGCCAGCGGATTTCCCTGACAGGCCGCGTGCCAAAGGTTGCCGATCCTTGGTCTATGGTATTAGCAAATGCAGCAACTTGTAAATTGCTACATCTTCTTTGAAGCACATTTGCATTAAATGTTCTTGCCACAGCATCCAAGAGGACTCAAAACAAGAATATGTTGCAATGTAGCATGACTAAGCAACATTTAAGCTACACTTCTGGAGTGCTGTACTTGAAGTGTACTGTGACATTTTATTACAAACGCAGGATGACATTCTGTCAATCAGTTTTACATGAATACAGTTACACATGGGGTACACCTTCCAGGGGCTCTACAGAATCTATGTGACAACTGAAAAAGTTGAAGCAGACCAACTTTTGTTTAGTTTCACCCCAGTATTGTAAAACTCTACGGTTCTCATACACAATTGAGTAAAATGTAAAATTAGTACAATGCTCAGAGATATACTCTGTTTGAATTCGAGAGTTCCTGAAGAACAGTGATAATTAGGGACCTACCAAATTCACTGTCCATTTTGGTCAATTTCATGGTTTTAGGATTTTAAAAATCGTAAATTTCATGATTTCAGATATTTAAATCTGAAATGTTACGATGTTGTAACTGTAGGGGTCCTGACCCAAAAGAGGACTGTGTGGAGGTCAGTAGGTTATTGTGGAGGGTGGGGGCACAGGGGTCATGGTATTGCCACCCTTACTTCTGCACTGCTGCCTTCAGAGCCGGGCCCTCGACCAGCAGCTGCTGCTCTCCGGCCACCCAGCCCTGAAGGAAGCACAGAAGTAAGGGTGGCAATACCGAGACACCCCACCCCCACCCCAAAAAAAAAAGCTTGTGACCCTGCCCCGCATCCTCATTTTGGGTTGGGACCCCCAATTTGAGAAACGCTGGTGTCCCCCATGAAATCTATATAGTATAGGGTAAACGTACACTTAAGACTAGTTTTCACGGTCCGTGACACATTTTTTACAGCCGAGAATTTTGTAGGGCCCTAGTTATAATACTTAACTAGGGATAAAGGCAGAACAGTTCTAGCTTGATAATGTAACTAGAAATAGGAAGATGCCTCCTTTGATCTGAAACTCATTCAGCCCTGGGACTAAAACGTTAAAGCAGCTATTAGCTTGCTCCCTCCTGCTAACTGAAAAAGTTGAATGAATAAGAAATATTTAGCCAACAGTCATTTCAACTGCTGTTCTTGAAAAGTACATAAAAACATAAGAATGGCCATACTGGGTCAGACCAAAGGTCCATCTAGCCCAGTATCTGGTCTACCGACAGTGACCAATGCCAAGTGCCCCAGAGGGAATGAACCTAACAGGTAATCATCAAGTGATCTCTCTCCTGCCATCCATCTCCACCCTCTGACAAACAGAGGCTAAGGACACCATAAGTAAATCTAGGTTGTTTGGAACAAGTATCATGCCACCACTTCTACAACAGCAAGTTGAGTGTAAAGGTTTGGAATAAGAGATGTCAATTGATCTTTGTTTGTTCAGAGCTCATGTTTTCATTCAGTAATCAATGGTTCTAAATGAAACCTAGCACCGTACAGCAGCAAATTGGAAAGTGCACAGAAAGCCAAGGGAGCCACTAATGAGAAGTTATCTACACCCAACGGCAGCGTGCAGAGAACAGACACTGCATGTCTAACTAGCATGGGTAAAAAGAGCAGTGTAGACAGTGAGGCATGGTTTAGGTGGGTAGAGCAGGATGCCCTACATGCCTGAACTCCCAGGCGATATACCCTACGCAGCTCTCTACACGCCTAAGCTGTGCCGCTCACATCTATACTAGCATCCTGCTGCCTCCCCATTGCCAGAACCTCTCCCTGCCACGGTGACACTGGACTGCTTTAGTTGTCCAACGACCACAGCAAACAAAACGATGCGCTCTATTATCAGCCATATACAGGAAACAGCAAGAGTTACAGACATTAGACTGGGCTGCAGCTTAAAATAAAAATAAAATAAAAAAAAAAAATCAATGTTTGCTTTTTTGCTCCGATGTACTAATGGATGTGGTATATGGCACACGAAGCACTGTGGAGACTGTGCATGGTTACTGCAACTTTAAAGTCTGGGATATTCTGGCCTGGTGGAGGTTCAGCTGACCTAGCATTGGCACTGGTGGGAACCCCATGGCTCCTCTGGCTAGACTTTTTTTAAAACCCCTGTGTCCGTTAATTGACACACTGGAAAAAATAGATCCATCCATGGGAGCCTTGTCTACACTACAGATGCCATCAATGTTAGCAGTAATTCAAATGAACTGGTGGGATTTTTTGAGGGGGGCGGGGGGGTAGATTTCACCATTGCAAATAAGGCTTGAGACTGTTTAGAACAGGGATGGTCAAACTGTGGCTCACGAGCACATGCGGCTCTTTTACAGTTAAAGTGCGGCTCGGGGAGCCCACCCCCTGCATTCTCCACCTGCCAGACTTAGGGGAGGGAGCTTGGGACCTCTGCCTTGCAGCAGGGTGGTAGGTTAGGGGCTTCTGTCTAGCAGGGCTGGGGGGCGGGGAGGGAAATCTTGGGGCTTCAGTCCCACGGGTCATGCTTGCCAGGGCTTCAGCAGGAGTGTGGCTGAAGCCCCGAGCCCCGGCAGGCGTGCCCCGGCTCTTGAACTTCTGAAGATTGTCATATGCAACTCAAAGGGTCAGTAAGCTTGGCCACCCCTTGTTTAGAACTTTGTATTTATTTCCACCCATTTAACTCAAATTCCTGAACTGCGGCTAGAAGAAAGATCTTTAGAGACTAACATTCCAGTCCCTTCAATTAAGGGCTGAACAAACGCCTACATTTCAGTTCTCCAAACCCAGGAGAACTTGATTCAATTTATTCCCAAGGTCAAACAAGCAATTTTTTAAAAGTCATCCAGGCTTCCTTTATATACACAAGAAAAAAGGGAAACACCTCCTCCCGCTCCCTGTGTAATTTTGCAGGTCACCTTTAAGCAGATACTTAAAAACCCACTTGCACATGGTAAAGAATGGGGCCGAACAGCCAGTCCAATACCACACAGGTTATTTTTGGCCCATGAACAGTTTTCATTTTCCACCCACACAGGGTATAGCTAGTTTCACTAAGGGATCCGTCCTCCACATTGTTGCAAGAAACAGCTCAGACTACCTGCACAAATACATTCGGCAGGATCAAGCCGCAAGCGATTGATTGACCTTCTCTGTATGGCTACAAAAATTCCTGATATTCAACTTACTACTGAACTGAGAAGTTCGAACTCTCGCTCAGGCAGGAAGGAGTGCCAGCCATCTTCGACAACTTCAAACATGGGCCGGTAAAAGAAGGGATACATTAGAGTGACAGAATCCAGGGTGGACAAGGCCTGTGGAAAAAAATGAAGCGTCAGTTTGTTCACTCAGGTGACCTTTCATGGCAAAAATGTCTGTACGATGTTCCCGTCTGTTAGTTTTGGCAATACAATTTGATGCAAAGTTTGTGCAGAACAGCTGGATCTAGACACACATCTTTTATTTACCCTTACACAAGGGTCATGGCATTTTACAGTAGCTGGTCCAAAACTCTACAACTTCCAATACTGATCCTGCAGCATTCGGAGCTATTATTGTAGTATTTTTTGGGTAAGGGTTTCTGCAGAACAGACATAGCAGTGCAAGCTTCTCTAACATGGGCCACCACCAATGTACCTCCAGCCTCATCATAGCATATTATTTCTGAGGCTAAGAAGACAATTGTCTTATCAGGGAAGCAAAAGATTGAATGGACAAGGAAGTAAATTGTGGGATGGATATTGACCTCTGTATGGAATGGCCTGAGATCATCAGCTGATTTCACAGGGCACTAAACAGCCAGATGGTAACAATAATTGTCCAATACCAGGCCGGACTAACTAGTGTCCTAGTGGTGAAAAGGTCCATCTCCTATTACCAATTCGGAACCACCTACTAAATTGCCATGGTTCCCATCTTTATTTTACACGGCAGTACAATAAAATGAGCAAAAATAAAGTAGGGTTTGCGGAGATCTTTTATGCTTTTAACACAAAAAGTGCAAAAACTTTTGATGAGGATTTTTTAAAGCAACTAACAAAATCATCCAAAGCACAGGACTTGGTGGGCAACTACCTGGACATCTGTTGGGAATAGAATACAGCAGGGCACAGATTATCCAACAAGTTCTTGGAATGCTCTAGAGACCGCTTTTTATTACAGAAAGTGGAGAAAGTGATTAGGGGAGAGGCTATTCGAGATTTGATTCCGACTAAAAGGGAAGAGCTGGGTTGAGAATTTGAAGATAGATGGCAGCTTGGGTGAAAGTGATCACAAAATAATGAGTTCACGATTATAAGGAATGATAGGAGGGAAAAGCGCACACTAAAGACAATGGACTTCAAGCTAACTCAGAATTGGTAGCAGCAAGTCTAAGGGGAAAAAAGAATTCAGGCGAGTTGGCAGTGTTTTAAAGGGACACTATTAAGGGTGCAAGACAAATCTATCCCGATGCATAGGAATGATAGGAAGTATGAGAACAGACCACCCTAGCTTAACCAGGAGATCTTCAATGACCTGAACCTCAAAAAAGGGTCATACAAAAAGTGGAAACTAGATCAAATTACAATGGATGAACAAAACAAAAACCTACCACAAGAATGTAGGGACAAAATAAGAAAGGCCAACGCAAAAAATAAGATGAAACTAGCTAGGGACATGATGAGTAACAAGAAAACATTTTACAATTACATGAGAAGAAAGACAAAGACCAAAGATAGGGTAGGTCCATTACTCAATGAAGAGGGAAAGACAAAAGCAGCAATTGCTGAAGTGTTAAATGCCTTTTTTGTTTCAGTTCTCACCAAAAACACATTAGCGGTGATTGGACAACATAGTAAACATCTGTGTAAATGGGGTAGGATCAGAGGCTAAAATAGGGAACGAACAAGTTAAGAATTACTTATACAAGTTAGAGGTCTTGAAATTGGCAGGGCCTGACAAAATATGAACTGGCTGAAGAGATCTTGGAGCGCTTCTCGGCTCGTTAGAGCTAAGATC